AACGAAAAAGAACAAGGGAATGAAATCTGATAAACCTCCTACATGCATGTGCCAATTCAGTTTTCTTTAATCAGTGAGTATAAACATTAACGTTAAAACCCATTTTGATTATGCACACCAACTGTGGTATAACTAAAAAGACGTTGAAGAATTTCTGCTTTTGTATTCCTGTATACTTTACTTCTGGCAGACAAAGATTTTACCCAGGTAAATCACTATTGCAACACTACATTTTCCCCTGGAAGCTGCAACAAAAATACTACTGAAAGAACAAAGAACATCAGTGATCAAGTGATGAAAACTCAGCAGTCTACAGCAATATCAAATATGTCCTGAAAAGACAGAGAAAAATGCAGCTCTTAATCATTACTTACCACAAGGGTAACTCAGAACCTGGATGTCATCAATGGCAATGTAGCCATTTCTCCCATCTGAGACTTCAGCTTCAAATATTACCTGTCAAAATGAAAGAAAAAATGTTTTCAACACTCATTTCTACAGAATTCCCACAGTGGCAAGTGTGTAGATATAAGACACATTGCCTTTTTCATTTAGTTGAAGTTCCTACAAGGTTTGACGACTGAATGGAATATTTATTACTCAATGTATTGCCGTTCCATACCATTCATATACATGACTTGCCTTGGATTTGCTGCTTATGGCACACCAGAAAAGCATGTTTATTACCTCAATTAACAGCATACTGCTTTCACTCCGCTAAATGTATAAACATGATTCAATTCTGAAAAAATTCCATTACTTTCAAACAGGTCCAACATCACAGCACACAACTGATCAACCAATTTTAACAAAATTTATATTCTTGTCGGGGGTCACAGTATAGTCCACAGTCTCCTGTAACCTTCTGCACCGTAATCGCACAGGAAAACATGCAGCAGCACAGAAATAGTGCAGCACTCCCCAGTGGCAATGAAAAGAACATCTGTAGCATGAGATTTATGTAGTAGTCGTTAACTTCATTCTTCATTCTTGCAAGGCAATGGGAAAATTGCTGTGCGTGAAGGAAAAGAAGAGACTGTCTTCACATCCAACTTCTTGTCCCACCCTAAAGAGGCAGTAACAACAAAGAATTGCTCTTGGTCTGGTCCAGAGCACAGAGCTGTCTTTTGCTACAGATGAAGCAAAACAACGCCAACTTCCTTGTATGGATGAAAAGAAGAAAAAAAGGAGAATATGGCAAGAGTAAAAGGAAAATAATTAGAAGGAAAAAAAATAAAGGATGAAGCATGAATGTCTAAACTAAAAGGAAGTTATGAAAGAGGAAACCACACCAGTAAAGATTGAGTCAAGTGACACGATATAAACTTGCAGTCATGATTGCCCAAAATAAGTATCTGTTGGGGTCTTCTGTGCAAGACAGGCTTAGAGCAAGTCAGCTGTTCTAGACATCATCTTTTCAAGTAGTTCACATCTCTCATTCTTGGGGACAATGTAAGGGAGCAGCAAAGGCAATGGATTAACAACTCAACGTACGCTGCAGGTGAGCAGGAGAATGCTGTCCCCATCAAGCACCTTTCTCAGATCTTCTTACTGGGGGATCCGCATGGCACCTTGCTAGGAAGTAATGACCAAGGGAGTCCTGGGAGCAAACAGGTCCCATCTACCTCCGGAGCTCCTTCTGGACCTCTCATTCACAAAAACTACCCTCTTTGGCAAGAAACCTGGCATTTACGCAACCTGGCTCTGAACACTGCATCAGGAACACTTCTGTGTGCTTATGCTCCACTCACTACATTTCCTCACTCTTACATCCCCATCCAGACATGACATGCAATTTACCTTCCCATCAAAGGAGGCAGGGACCCCAGGTAGCCTGTTTATACTCAGAACTAATTCCACAACCTTAAAGGGGGAAAAATAAGGAAAATTTCCAAGGTAAGGTGGATATGGGCATGTTCATGATGTGGTTCACAGGGTCCCCCAACTTGTGCTCTGACTGCAGAAAGAGGAAGCCTGTGGCGCACGTATACTTTGACAGCCTACAATCTCTTTTCCAACTTCTCTGGAAGTTCTTGCTGAGGTTCTAGCTGCACTTCTCTCCACTCTTCTTTTTTCTTTTAATTTTGTTTACACCCCAATGCAATTAAGTTGCAGAAACCACTTCATTCTCTGCCTCCTCCTCCTGCCTTGGCCAACAACAGCTTGATGGAAAGGAATTTAGTGTCTGGGGGTCCTACTTTCACTCCCTTGTCCAATAACCTCTCTGGCCAGAGCACTATTTGACAGTGTCCACTAGCTCCTCAGGCATCTTCAGAGAGCTGGCACTTGTTCCCAGTAAGGAACATCAACATGAATATCTTCAGTTCTTTAATAATTTGGATTAATCCTCTTTTTTTTTTTTCTTTTTTTAAATGGTTGTATGGTGCAAAAGACAAACAACTCAGTAAGAAATAACTATTATATTCAAAGCCCTTCTGACAGACCAATTTCTTTACAACACAATACAGTTCTATCACATACACAAACTCTGAAAGCAGTTTATTTCTCAAAGTCCAGTTAAGAAATTTGAGCATCAGTGTTAAGAACCAAACTAAATATACACCTCGCTCTGAGTTGGGTTGTTACTAATTCATTTGGAAGTAACTTAGATCCAGTTCCCAGGGAAGCTTGGCCTTATCTAAGTGTGTCCTTCTTCTGTATGTTGATACCTTCCTACACTGGGGGCAGAGGGGAGAAAGTTACCTTCCTTGGAACAGAGCTGGGAATGAATTTACTTTTTTTTCCCCCTACCTCTTCCAGATTAATTTAATTAATCCCCACGCTCCCAGAGTAGGAAGTTAACAAAAAAAGAGAAGTTCACAGGAAAGTGTAAGATTAAGACATGGAGATCCATGAGAAGAAAAAAAAGAAAAACACAACACAACAAAACATGGACATGAGGAAAAATGTCTTTACTGAAAGAGTGGTTAAACATTGGAAGAGGCTGCCCAGGGAAGTGGTTGAGTCCCCATCCCTGGAAGTATTTAAAAGATGAGTAGATGCGGCACTTAGGGACATGGTTTAGTGGACATGGTGGTGTTGGGTTGATGGTCAGACTTAATGATCTTGGAGGTCTTTTCCAACCTCAATGATTCTATGATTCTAAAAAACATGAAGAAATATGGAAATGCAAGAAGCCTACAAAATGTTATAGGGAGTAATGTTTATGAGGTAAGTAAAGGATAAATAAAGCGATTAAAAAGACACAGATATTAGAGAGCTGAGATTTCATATATACAGTGCTAAACTAGTTTTATTTACATTCATAATTGGTATAAATACAGCTATGAAACATTCATAACTATAGACACTATATAGCAAAAGGTGCAGCTCAGTTAAAAGATTCTCATCAGGCTTTAATTTGATAACATCTGTTCACATTTAAAATGGGAAAGGGAAAGAGGGAATTGCATATACAGGTGAAAACAGCAATTTAAAATGCTGACAAGTCAGACCAGAATCTGAGGTAGTTCTTTTCCTCACGTACGCACACACTACTTGAGAAAAACCAGACTGTTGAGCTACTCCTTTCACCAGAGAAGGTTTATCCTAATAAGACACCAGTGCTTTGGGAGTGAATCCTGCACTTAGTCTGCACTGCTGTCCAGTTTACAGTCCTAGAAAGAATGGCTTTAACACTTTCATTTTAGCTAAAAAATAATTCAGATTATCACTCTAGCCAGAAAACATTAGTTGCCTGTGCAACTATAAATGTCCTTCTACTTATTACAATTTAATTGCATGCCCATCTAGTGCACTTCTGAGATGCGCTCAGTTCCTTTAACGGAGAGGAGAGACTGCTTTGGGGGGATAAATCGGGCTTGCACAGAGCAGGGCTGTGGAGACAGCTATCCTGTCTCGTTTGTACCAGCGTCACCACAATGAACGAGAATGGGAAATGCTGAATAGCTCAGGTAATTCAAATGCTACTCAAGGGAATTAGATTTGATCCCTGAATTTTCTACACTGTTCCAAGGTGATACTCAAATAGTTAGCTACTTCTCCAAATAAAGTGGCATGTCCTTGTTTATGAAGTGCCTGCATTCAGATGCAAATGAAGATAGAATGTCAGCACTCCCTGAACTGGACATGCTTCTACGTATTTAGACATCCCTAATGCATCTCTTGTCCATATATTGGTCCATTTTTCCCCTAAAACTATGCAAGCTTTTAGTGAACACAGTATCATTTGGGAAAATCCACGGGTTTACTACTGACAGCAGTAAGAGCCATTTCCATTTGTCTGTTTTGTACCTGGCTTCCTTTAATGACCCAAATCAGTGACAAATTGATCCCAATCATCCTGGTCTATTATTCACAGCTTTGTAGACCTCTATTATATGTCCCCAAGTAATTTTGTCTCAAATTTGAAGAGTCCCAGATTATTCAGTCAATCTCTTATAGAAACTGTTCCCTTTTCTTTGATTAGCCTTCTCACCCTTCTCTAAAGCTCTTTCTAACTGTGCTATATTCTTTGAGGATAACAAGAGCAGAGCTGGCACACAGTAATCAAGACATGGGTGACTCATAAGTTATACAACAGCATAATATCATTATCTAATTTATACTGAACTTCCTTAACCATTCTTAACACTTCATTTGCTTTTTTTTGACCATCACTGGGCTCTAAGCTGACATTTTTATGAACCCCACAACCTTGCTGCAGAGTGCCAATGGCAAGCTCCGAGTCCATCGTTTTGTGCGTGAAATTAGGATTTTTATGCAGTGTGCATTATTTTATATCTCTATCTACACTAAAATGTGCCTGCCATTTTATTGCCGAATCATTCGCAGCTGGTGATATTGTGATGGTCCTTCTACAGGTCCTCACTATCACATATTGCCCTTGCTATTCCAAAGTAGCTTTCACCTATAAATTTTTGTCTTCGTACTGTTCTCTGGCCCCCACTCTAGTCCCTTATGAACACGTTGAAAGGCACAAATCTCTCTAGGATGCCTTGGTGACTACTTCTGGGCATACTTACAATTTATTCCTACCTTCTCTTTTTCCTCTTAAACAATTATCTATCTATGGAAGTATCTTTCTTCTCATAGAATGGCAGCTTAGCTTCACTACAAGCTTTTGTAGAGGGACATGGTCAAAAGCCTTTTGGAAACCTAACTAGCCTGTATCAATCAGATGACCCTTATCTATATGCTTGCTGACCCCTCTAAATGGCTCCAAGGTTGAAAATTAAGCATATACCATGCAACATACAGCAAAAAAAGAGAAAAAAATCTAGTAATTTTGTGTCAGGCACTGCAAAATAGCACATACTTTGTTTTTGCATCACAGCTCTAAAATGCAGATGATGACAATCACTTCACCTAATACTATTCCAGAAATAAATGTTTGTGAACAAATTACTCAACAGTATTTGAATGCAATGGAAAAGGTAGTAATTATTACAGCGAAGACCCCTAAAGGGATTTAGTTGCTGGAGTTTAATGCTTAA